CAGACGGACGACTCACGACGCGTCCTTGGCGACGATCGGCTGCGACTCGGAGCGCGGTCTCGGAGAGTCGTTTGATTCGTCGGCCATGACGCGAGACGTACTCGTGTCGCCGAGCAGCGTTGGCGCCGCGGAAGCCGTAGCAGACACGAAGCCGCTAGGCTCTCCAGCGCTTCTGCGTCGTGTCGCGTCGCTCGACGGTGTACGAGAGAATCTCCATGCCTCCGTCGTTTTCGGCGGCTTCCACGACAACGCGCAGCTCTCCTTTGTCGTGTCGGGGATGGTGAGAGGACCCTCGGTGGGCCCGGTCGATCAAACCAACACAGCGATTCGTGAGATCATTCGTTGACATTAGGCCCTGTGTGGGTGCATGTCACAATCACCGTATATAAATATATATATATAATATATATATATATATATATATATATATATTATATCACCTAATAATAATCTTTATACCTATATCTTCAATCCCCATCGCCTTTACCTAGATCGCCATCATCAACATTACCATCAATCACCCTGTATTAAGATTAAGACACTAAACACAATCAATATTAAGAAATGAGTAAAAAGCAATAAATGAGTAAAATGCTGTAAAATTAGAAAACCTTAAGACTAAAAAAGAGCAATAACATATGAATGAATGCGCGCTGACCTTTGACGGTGACTTTAACAAGATGCCGAATCCTGTGCTCGTGGTCATTGCGTACGCTGACCGTGTACTCGGCCGTGTCCGAGCGCTCGGCAGAGCTCACCATTATCTGACTGCTCGTCTCGGTTGTGGTTACCGACACATCTGATGAGAGAGCATTAAGATCACACTAAGCGAACAAGCACTCACACACGCACACGCACGCACGCGCGCACACAACACACACACATACACAAACGCACGCATCACGCACACGCAGCACGCACACGCACACGCACACCGCACACGACACACGCACACGCACACACGCACACCCCCCCACACGACACACACACACACACACACACACACACACCACACAAGTCACTGGTCATGACTATATAGCAACGTTGAGTTGTAAATTGAAATAACTGAACCAGTTGTTATGATGGGGGTTCAACACGTTTGATAGAATTACATTTTTGAGATAATGCTTTGGTACACAATTGCACAGGTTACAGATGTTAGAATATGTCGGGGACAGATGGTACGCATGACACCGCTTGCACACGTACCTGTGGAAGATTCCACAGGCCTTCTCTTGCCTTTGTCCATTTTAGTCTGGAGTAGGTTCGCGCCGACAAACCGACATTTAATTCAAAAGGCTGACCAGCTTATGACTTGAGGTCTCTCAGACCGATACATCCAGTTTCGGCGCAACTATTGAAGAAATCACCACGAAACACGAAAAACAAATTTAATTTCACAAGACACATACGTTCACAAAACTTCGCACAACAATTATCGCATTAGCACATAGTACGTTTCAAATCTCTCTGAAGGAGGTGATTCGCGCGTATGCGAGATCACGGCGAGATGCGAACATTGCAACGCGTCATTATACTCAAATGTTCTGCTAACAATCCAGATCTACGTTACACGTACTTCGTGTCTAAAGCAGTTAAAGGTGTAGGAGAACCACTTTATAAGTAAAGAGGAGAGAGAGAGAGGGGGGCGCGAAAGAGAGAGCGAGCAATCGAGGTGAGTGAAGAGAGAGAGAGAGCGGAGAGAAAAGAGAGAGAGAGGGAGCGCGAGAGAACGGGCGGAGAGAGAGAGAGTGAAAGAGAGAGTGAGAGTGAGAAACAAAGACAGTGATAGAAAAACACACAGGAAAGGAAGAGAAAGAGAAAGAGATAGGAAGTGCGAGCGGCGCGAGAGAATCGAGAGACGCTAATTCACTTCACCGAATCTAGGCTTGGCGACCATTGGCTGTGACGCTCACTAGGCTCGTGGGCCCGCCTTCGTTCACGGCAACGATCCTGAACTGAATACTCAACGCCCTGCCGCAGCCGACCGGCCGTGTACTCAGCTTCTCGCTCGTTCCGCCTCCGACATTCGCGCATCTGTTGTCTCGTATCTCGATGACGTATTTCAGTATCGGGGAGCCACCGTCGCTCTCGGGTTTCGTCCACTTTAGGTCGGCGTGGTCGCTGTTTCAGTCGCGTAACCTCTGGTCGTCCGGGGCGCTGGGCTCGTCTACAATATAGAGATTCGTGTGTGCAAACGACGCGTCCAGAATTGTTATATTAATATAGCACATGCATTCCATCATTTATATCAGGAGAACATGCTATCTCTATTCACGTTTTCCTGATTATATGATATAACATCGTCGCTGACAGATAGGAAATTGATTGTGTGTGTGTATGTGTATTGTGTGTGGTGTGTTGTGTATGTGTGTGGGTGTGTGGTGTGTGCATGTGTGTGTGTGTGTGTGTGTGTGTTTGTGTGTGTGACAGTTGTGTGTGTATGTGCATGGTGTGTGTTGTGTGTGTGTGCGCGCGCGCAGTGTGTTGCGTGTGCGTGTGTGTGCTGTGTGTGGTGTGTGTGTGTGTGTGTGTGTGTGTGTGTGTGTGTGTTCATGTGCGCGCGCGATTGCGTGTGTATATATATATATATATTTATATATATATATATATGTGTGTATGTGTGTTTGGTGTGTGTGTGTGTGTGGTGTGTGTGTGTGTGTGTGTGTATGTGTGTATATGTGTGTGTATGTGCGTGCGTGCGCGTGCGTGCGTACGTGCGTGCGTGTGTGTGTATGAGTGCTACGTGCGTGCGTGCGTACGTTGGTGTGTGTGTGTGCATGTGCATGTGCGCGCGCGTGTGTCTGTGTGTGCGTGTGTGTCTGTGTGCGCGCGTTGTGTACGTGTGTGTGTTGCTGCGCGCGCGTGTGGTGCGCGCCGGCGCGCGTGTGTGTGTATGTGTGGTCGTGTGTTGTGTGTCGGTGTGGTGTTCGTGTGTAGTGTGTGTTGCGTATGTGTGGTGTTGGCTGTGTGTGGTCTGTGTGTGTGTGCGTGTGTTGTGTGTGTGCATATATATACTGCAGTAGATTGGATCTAGCCATAACGCATATCAGAGGTATTGCAGTGTGCAGACGCCACGCCGGATCGGGGTGGTCCTCATTTTCGAATTTTTCATGAATCTAAATACGCGCATACTTTCCGTCTCCTCCGCGCAGGTGGAATAAAGATGCCGCCAGAGTTTATTGAGAAGCCAGCAGTGGTGCCGTCCCAGGACGCCAGCCGTCTCATCATCGAGTGCCTCGTACGCGCCAAGCCCGATCCGGACATGCAGTGGTACTTTGCCGGCAGCAAGCTGAGCAGCGGCGACCGCTACGCGATGCAGATCAGACAGCAAGGTTCCACCAACTTCCTCGCCACTCTCGAGATCAAGGTCAGCACGAGATGATGAGCAAGTTTGTAATATAGGAAAATGGCGTGGGCAGCATAGTGGGAAAAGGCGTGTCCTCGTTTAGATACCGCTTGGTGGCGCCGCTATATTACCGACTGGTAACTATAGGGAACAGAGAATTAGACAGCGAGTCTGGTAACTAGGGATCTGATAACTAGAGAGTCTGGTAACTAGGAAGCGAGTAACGTGGAAGTCTGGTAACTAGGGAACAGATAATTAGACAGCGAGTCTGGTAACTAGGGAGCTGATAACTAGGGAGTCTGGTAACTAGGAAACGAGTAACGGGGAAGTCTGGTAACTAAGGTACAGATAATTAGACATCGAGTCTGGTAACTAGGGAGCTGATAACTAGGGAGTCTGGTAACTAGGAAACGAGTAACGGGGAAGTCTGGTAACTAGAGTCCGGTAACTAGGGGTCCGGTAACTTGGGAGTCTAGTAATTAGGAAGCGAGTAACTAGGAAGTCTATGGTGTACTATGGGAAGGGGAGTAACTAGGCAACAGATAACTAGAGAGTCTGGTAACTAGAGAGCGGGTAACTGGGTAGGCGGGCGGGTAACTAGGAATCGGATATTTAGGGAGTCTGGACGCATTCGTGTCCAGCTAGCGATGAGTGCAATAACTTACAAATGCAATGCAAGAATCACGACAAATGATCAAAGATAAGAATCAGAAAATATTAAACAGTCCTTATTTCGCCGCACGCGCTGTATATCATGTTATTCGTTATTAATTCGCGTTACAGGGAGTCACGGAGGCGGACAGAGGTCTGTATAAAGTTACCGCCAGCAACAACATGGGAGAGGCGTCGGCTGAATTGGAAGTCAAGTAAGTGGGGATGTCATATTAGAACTGGAGGGCGAGTTCCATCGAAGTCACTGCTGTTATGGTTTTGAGCAATGTACTCTATACCGATATGCCTCAGTCGACACTGCTAAAGAAAGCAATTTATCTCACTCGTTGGCAAGGCTAACAACCTCATATATAGACGAGCTAGTAGTTTTGCTAGACAAAGCCTGTAAATGAAGCGAAAACAACGCAACTGCCGAGGGCCTATGCTCTACGATTGGAGCCAAATGACTGAAAGGTGTCATATTAGAGATCCCGTAATAAGGGCTATGCGCAGAGCAAACGACGCTAGAAAATCTAAATGCAGAAGCAACGATATTTAGCTTGCAGCTATCTTGGTTGCGCATTTCCATGTAGTTGCATCTATTATCACAAGCAATAACTGTCAGAAATCAAACATACCATGGATAGCTAGCTTGAAGAAGGTCTGTCTATCTAGATTAGCGGTTTAAATGATAGATATAGCCTGGAAAATCAAAAACACATGACGGAAAGCTATTTATCGCAGATGGATGGAAACATGATAACATGAATATCCTCTAGGCAAAAATTAGGCTGGCAGGCAGTCTCTCATTATAGAACTGCGCTTTGTGGAGGTATAATAGGGAAGGCACGTGGCAGACGCTTCGGGATGCTCTCTTCTGGAAATTGTTTTAAGACGAAGCTGCGTAGGCGACGGCCAGCGAATAAGCTATATAACCGAGGAATCGGCATAAGCAAAACCGGATTGTTTACCGTAATAAAGCACATTTATAATGCGACGAAACCAACAAACGAGTCTGAAACCAATCAGAGACCGACCATCGAGAAGTAGAATACAGCAGAATAGACGAGATTAGATTATTATTTTGTTATTTTATATTATCGCATAAACCTCATATTTATTCTGTTATTATTCACTTTAGGGATGAGGTCAAGATTGAGATCGAAGAGAAGAAGCAGAAGCCCTCCTTTGTGGAGAAGCTCGTTGACAAGAATGGGATTGTCGCAGGCCTTATTGAGCTTACCTGTAAAGTCGAGGGTCATCCCATGCCAACGGTGACCTGGTACAGGTAAGTGCGACAATCACAGTTAGATTCGGTTTTTTTTTCAAAGCCATTCCCTGTCACTGTTTATATCCCTTAGAAACTATTGCCTAAATGTAATATAATGTAATATAATCAGGAGTTAATAAAGACAATTTGTCTTTATTAACTCTTTATATAATGTAATAATGTAATGTAATGTAATATAATGTAATGTAATGTAATGATGTAATGTAATGTAATGTAATGTAATGTAATGTAATATAATGTAATGTAATGTAATGTAATGTAATGTAATGTAATGTAATGTAATGTAATGTAATGTAATGTAATGTAATGTAATGTAATGTAATGTAATGTAATGATGTAATGTAATGTAACGTAACGTAATGTAATGTAGTGTGATAAAATTTAATGTAACATAACAAACATACAAACAACAACACACACAAAACAATACAAACATACAAACATAAAAAATAATAATGAAACTAACGCAATGCATTAGGATGTAATACAGTGTTATCAAATGTATCGTGTTCGCACGTGTACGTGTGCGCGGACGACGCTCGCACATCTCGTGTTAACGCTCTCGCGGTTTCAATGGCTACACTCTAGGAACGAAGTCTTGATCATGAAGTCTAAGAACTACCAGATGACGATGGATGAAGACGGCGTGTGTCATCTGTTCATCATGGAGCTGTCGCTGGATGATGCTGGCAGCTACACTTGCAAAGCCATTAACCAGCACGGCAAGGCAAAGACCTCCTGTGACGTCACCGTCGAAGGTGACTCATGCGGCTTATGCATTTGATATTGCCCGCCAAACGAAATGTCACTGCGCAGGACGATGATAGATT